ATTTCAGAAGATGAGATCGAGGCAGTTGTTTAGTCTAGTGTTGTTGGTTACTAGTTGTTCCAGTCCCAGATTTGTAATAGCATTGTAGAAGGTTGTGTGTATGATTTCAGTTGTACATTTATTCATTCATTCTCCAGAACTGACCAGTTCTGGAGAACCAGTAGTCAGGTGTGGGATTCAACCGGTGTTACTACCGGTTCAGTGATTACGTTTTGCGCGTGTGTGTAATACACCTTAAGCTGTGCCATTCGGACAGCTGATAAGCGCTGTGCGCGGGTGTGCAGTGTTTGAAAAACCATTTTTTTTACTGCTTTTTCAACCTCAGCTGTGCTGTGCAAAGCTGCTGAGGTTGAAAAAGCAGGAAATAAAGGTCAGGTAACAGCCTGGGCGGGTGGGTGGGCCAAACAGCAACAGACACAGAACTGGTTTGGTGTCTGCTGCTCTTCAAAGCTACCGGTTCTATAGAGCTGGGCAGAACTGGTAGCATCCCACCCCTGCTGGTAGTGGAAATTTTGAGTAGTTCGGAGAACTGGCAAATACCACCTGACTGGCCCCGCCCTCATCTATTCTCTGCCTCCCGAGTCCCAACTGATTGGCTGGGTCTACTTTTGTTGCCCTGCACAGGAGAAGGGAGCTGGAAAGCAGGTTAGTGGGGTGGGGAGGGAATGGGATTTTGCAGTAACCTCCCCCCAGGAATGGGGAGGGAATGGGGATTTTACAGCATCCTTCCCCTGCCACATCCATCAAGCCATGCCCATAGAACCGGTAGTAAAAAAATTTGAATCCCACCACTGGTTCACACAGACAGTAACATTTCAGATAAAGCTCAGCTAATAGAGGTGACCTCTGAATATTAGTCCATTAAGAAAGCAGCTAGCACTGAAAAAGCAGAACAGAATAACAGAGTTGGAAGGGACCTTGGAGGTCTTCTAGTCCAACCTCCTGCTTAGGCAGGAAACCTTATACCATTTCAGACAAATGATTGTCCAATCTCTTCTTTAAAACTTCCAGTATTGGAGCATCCACAACTTCTAGAGGCAAGTCATTCCACCGATTAATTGTTCTGTCAGGAAATTTCTCCTTAGTTCTAGGTTGTTTCTCTTGAGAGAAAGTAATGCATATTTTCTTGAAGCTGGCACAGCTTTTCCAACAGAGAATTTTCCTCTATGAACAGGGAAAGCTTCATAGCTTCATAGCTTTTCTTAATCATCCTAATATTGATTGTAAATAACCATGGGGAAAAAACACAAAATGGCACTAGCAATCTTTATTCGATACAACTGGGTTCCATTTATAAAGTTTACCATTAGACTAATCTTCCAAATAAAGAAAAATATATCTTTTGATGTTAAACAGTAAAACTTTTTTTATCATTCCAATTTTATATCCCTACTTTGATGTTCAGTATTCACATTAGTGTAACACTTGGTTTAAGAAATCACAATTGGTGGATTCATGCAACATGTCAAGGTAAATCCAAATAAATCACACTGTAGTTTAGTGTACTATGAAGTAGACAGGTAACCAAATTCATCTACTGTATTGTATCATGTGGTTTAGTTGATTTGGCTTAAGATATTGTGAGCCAACTAATTGTGTTTTACTTAATAAAACATGATTTTAAAAGTCTTGTAATCTGTTTCCTAGTTAATAAACTTTACCAAAGCGTGGAAATCTAATATGCTTGGCAAATTGGGCCAATACTGAGCAAGATGATATGTCTCATAGAACAAAAGCTACGGTAATTTATCAAATCCTTCCAAACTGATAAACATACATTAAAATAGGTGTCTAGCATGGCTTTTTGAGAATAGTATAAAACCATTATATACAATTTCAAGGACATATTATCTTCTTGAATGACTCTTGTAATATAATATTTATAAATATACTGTTGTATATTGGGACAAATCCTTTTATTATTTTGTATCCTTTTCCTAAATGTTTGTATTGGATTTTATTGTCTTCAGTTTTTCTTTCCTATCAGAAATATATGTTAATTACACAATTTCCCGACAATGGTTTCTCCTTAAGGCTGCATGACTATTTGTTTTTAATTATTTTCTATTATTGCCTTTCCTTACATAATGGAAAGTATGTAACTGAATGTAAGAAATAATTCATAATATACTAAGTTATAACACAGGAGCTCCAAATTTGCACCTTTCCTAAGCCAGGAAAAGTAAATTCTTACTCAGAACTCTTGAATTCATATCTCTTTTTTTTATCTCCCAGAGTTGTTGCAATATTGCATAGTAAAAACAGCAAAATATTTTTAGACAAGAAAAACTATTATTAATTTTGCAGATTGTCAACACCAGTCCAGTTGCCTCTTTAAAAAGCACCTTTGGGATTTTATGTTACATTTCAGTGGTCCTTTTAAAAATTCTGTCTTAATATTTTACAGTACATATAATGTTGGTAATTATTTCAAAAATAGGATTAAAAATAATGCAAACCTGTAGACTAGCCTTTCTTCAATATTTGGGACTGCAATTGCCTAAATTCCCAGGTTTTACTCATATTGGCTGTATTTCTCATTTAGGAGATCAAGCACCATGCCTATGCTTGTCATCCAAACCATTTGAGGACAAGAATTTAATATTTTTTTCAAAAGACTTTGAGATTTGGTTTCAGGAATCACCACTATTTGCCTGATAGTTTGGCAACTTAGAATAGACTTTAGTAGGACTTGACATATTGCTTAATCTGTCATTCGACGCACCTACCTATATTTGCACAGCTTTGCTCCTTGCCCATCGACATTAAGGAGATCAGTTGGTAGTAGTTTTCATGCTGCCAGGTGGTGCTTGGTAGGAGGGAAAAACGTCAGGGAATCCATCACTTCTATAACATTGCTTGGATTAAAATTGTGACGATAGTACCAGATTCAATTATTAAGGCACAATAGTATCCACCATCAAGCAGCAAATGTTAAGGTTCAAAAACTTGTAGCCATCTAGCTGTCTGTAGGATAAAAATACACATTAGGAAAAACAAACCCTACAGAGATGGATGAAATGTTGGATAGCAGGAGTATTAAAGAAAAGTTTGTAGAAAAGATGAAACTATTCTTTGCACGTCCTTGAAGGTTGAGCAAATACTGGGAAGGAAGATGGATTTCATAATTTGTTGTTAATTACAAACTACTATAGAGAAAGTCTTTTTTCTATAATTCTTTATCACTTCTTAATACCAGCTCTCTATTAAGGAGAATGGAGGTTTAAAAACAGAGCTCAGCAGCCTTTTCAATGTTGCTGCTTTGCCTGTCCCTTAAGATTGAATAAATTATTCTGTAATATTGTTCTCATCCCATGCCAAATTCAGTCCATTTTTAAACTGGCTTTCTTTTGCCTGCTTCTACCACGATACCAAATTCCAATCTGTTCTGTTTTCAAAGAATTATCCTGCTGCCAGATGGCTGGACAAAATCCTAAATCCCTACATAATGTATTTCAAAAATGCCACTGAGTTGGAATTAATTAAGAAATGTGGGAAGATCTAGAAAATTAGGGAAAGGTCTGTTCAATATCTGTATTGTGCAAACTGGTAGAAAGTGTGATGACAGAAATTATCACTGTAAAAAATAACACTTAGAAGAATGATTGTCAGTTTCTGCAAAGGCAAAAACTCCTAGAAACATATGGTGGATGTCTCATAGGATAAGTAAAGTGCTGTGATTAGATGAAACTTTGACCTAATCCAGTACAACTCATCTGATTTCTTAGAAGCAAATTGACCCACATAGCTTTTAAAGTATTTTAAGAGTGTAAACAAGTATATGGGCTAAGGGATCATTGATTGTTTACATTTTCAAAAGGTGTTTGACAAAGCTCTACATGTAAAAAAAAAATCCAGTTCAAACCTAGCTATCAAGAAGAAAAAAGGAAGAACTATCATGAATTCTGATTACACAATGTAAATGAAAAATAATAGATCTGCACAAATAATTTGATGTTTAGTTCGAGAATGAAGGGTTTGTCTATATTTGCACCTCAAAGCTGCAAAGCAGCTATAGTTGCTGAAGGGTGTCAGAGACGTTCGTCTGGCCAGAATGTTAGACAATCATATAGAAGAAAAAGCATCTTGGAGAGAGTATTTCTCTGAAAGATGATTTTGGCCAATAGGAAGCTGTTATGCCTCCTGTTATCCTTGTGGTCCTCCTAGAAGCACATAGTGTCCCATAAGATGAGTAAAATGCTGTGATTAAATCCTAATCCAGTACAGCTCATTTGACTTCTAAGTCCTGACCATATTTCAGCAGAACGGTAGGCAAATACCTATACTTGGGTGCACACCTATGCGTGAAATTACCTGTCTTTGATTGGGGGTGGGGTGGGGTGGGGTGGGTATTAAACAGGACATTTCTGGGAAAATGAGAAATCTGGCAATAGCACTTCTGAAAAACAAAATCTGGAAGCAGGAAGGTTGTCTGGATCAGGGGTCTCCAACCTTGGCAGCCAACCTTGAAATCTGGCGGACTTCAACTCCCAGAATTCCCTAGCCAGTTGGGAGTTGAAGTCCAGAGCACAGCTGGCTGGGGAATTCTGGGAGTTGAAGTCCGCCAGGCTTAAAGTTGCCAAGGTTGGAAATCCATGGTCTGGATGAAGGTCGATATAGTCAGACTTCTGAACTTCACTTAAACACCGATTTTACCCCTGCTTTTTCAGATTTAGGGAGGAGGAGGAGGAGGACATGTTCTCAGGATACATACAGCTGCCAAGCTCGCCACCGAAACCGCGCCTCAGTTCCATCCAGAGAACTGGAAAGCGAAACCCTAAAAAAAAACCTGCCCGGGTCTTTGATTCCCACCCCCTCCCCACTTGGAGAATGGCTTCTCCGCCGAAGTTGCAATCCCGTTGCAGAGGCCTCCGGTTCGCTCCATAGTTGCGAGAGTCCTTCCACGGGGCGGGCCGGGGAGCGGAGAAAGAAAGAGGGAGGGAAAAGCCACGAAGCGGTTTCTCCAGCCGAACCAGCCATGCCTTCTTTGTCGACGCGGGGGCGGGCATTTGGAGAGGATCCCTAACTCGGGCCGAGAGGCAGAGCGTGTGCGTGTGTGTGTGTGTTGTGTTGTGTATTGGCAGTGGGGTAAGTGGAGGTTGGGTGGCTCCGACTCTCTGACGCCAGTGAGACCAGATCAATCCAGGCGCAGCGGCAGAACGAGCTGGGCTGCTCAACGGCGGCGCTCTCTGGAAGCGAGAGCGAAAAAGCAGCAGCAGCGGCAGCGGGTGGGACTTTGCCCGCCTGTCCAGCAGCTGCGACGCGCTGCGCTTTGCACGGTCGTTTTTCCTTATTCCCTCGCCTCGCCCCTCGCGGACAGCTGCTGGTAAGGAGCTGGGTTTGGGCTACTCTCTCCGCCGCTCCGAGCTGGCCTTCTTCCTTGGGGAGTCACCTCCCCCCCACCCGCCTTGGTGTCCTTTCTCCTCCCTTTTTTTTGCGCGGGGGGGGGGGGGGGGGGCACCACCCCTCTTCTTTTCTGCCGGTTCCTTGCGGGCTTCTCCTTTTAAAACAATGAGACTGCCAGAAGGGAAGAGGGGCAGGCGAGGGTGAGGCTGAGCGGCGACAATCTTGAATCGCGCGCGTGCGGAGCGATGAGGGCAAAGGGGAGCTTTCGTTTCTCCTCATGATGGCGGCTGTGCGGGTGGAAGGAGCCGAAAAGAGCGAGGAGGAGGAGGAGGCGGCGGTGATTTTAACGTTGTAAAAAAGTTTCCTTCTCCTCCTCTGGGGGGGGGGGGGGGGGGGGGGGGGGGGGGGGGGGAAAGAGGAGGTGGAGGTATGGGGACCTTTTTGTAGCTCCAGAGGTAAAATAGACCCGCCATCTCCCTCCCCCTTCTCGGCTTTCCGCTTCCTTTCGGCTGCCGCTTCTCAAGTAGGGGGAAGAGGAGAGGGAAAGCAATGGAAAAGCCAGAGTCTGGTTCCCAGTCAGGAGGTCCTTTCTCGGGCGTCCTACCGCCCACCTCCACCCCCGGCTGTTCCGAGCCAAAACTGAAGAAATTGACCTCCAATTTGGCTTCAGTAGTGAAGGAAAATAAACCAACCCAATACACTGGAGCTACCCTCTCCTTTGCAATTCAGCATTTTTTTCATTTTTTGTCTGATGTTTTTTTGGGGGGCGGGCGGGGGAGAGGAACGCTTTCCAAGCCCGATTTTTTTTTCTTTTTTGAGTGGCAGGTTTCTCTGGTCAAACTTCCCTTTTTGACATTATTAGCGATGACCCATTCGGGAGGTTTTGTTTTTGTTTGTTTGCTCTAGTCTAGTATAAACCTTGCTTTCTCCTCCCACCCATCCTCCGGGTTTATTTGGCGAGGTTTATGGGAATTCGTAGCGGAAAGCTATGATAAACCGAGGATAGCAGTTTCTTTCTGCCCTTTGTTAAATAGTGGATGAGGCTGCGTGTGTGGGCTGGCTTAGAATTTCTTAATACAGGGTATTAAGAATATGAAAAGCTGCTTTAATTTGAGGAGTGGCTTTATGCTTAAGGATAAGACAACAATCTTTACTGTGCTTAATATATATGGATACCAGGTTTAATCCACATTTATTTTCATATACTGGGGAGCAACCTTTGTTTGCCTTAGGAAGGAAAAGTAGATACAAACTCATGGAAGAGTTCCATGGTGAAAATGGCCAGAGTTCAGCTGAGTCTAGGACAAATCACTCATAGTATAGTAACAAAAAAGAGTTGGTGCTTGAATTGTAGCCATAAAAAAGCTCAATCCCCTTTAAGAACAACTGGCGGAGGCATTGTTCTGTCTAACCTGCTGCCCCTTCAATTGTGTGTCTTTATTTAAGAATTTAAAATGAACTGCATCTGCGGAGGTTCACTTCCATGCACAATCCCAAAGGTGCTTTGGGTGGAAAGGTGCTTTGGGTGGAAAGTCCAGTTGCCTTTTGAAAAAATATCTTGAGGACAATTGTGATCTGGATGACTTGAGAATCTCCATAGACTTCCAAGAACTAGTTGTTTAGTTTCAGCAACAGTAAGACAGCATTCCTCTAGGCAGTTGCCACTTTAAACCTATGCAATTCTTACTTTTATAGGTGTGCTTTGCATCCAGAAAGGGTTGAGGATGACCTGCTGAGGGTTGAAGAGGGCATTTAGCATAACTATTGTGACTTCTATTTGAGAAGCTTTTGGAAATGCCTAATTCTTCTTGATAATAGGAATACTTGGTCCTTCTTTTCTTAGCATAACTAAGTGTTCAGGGCATGATTGCAAAAGCTAAAACAGCCTAAAAACTTCCTAGCCACTGTCTCTGATAAGATCACTTTGGTTCAAGGCCAGATCGTGTTACAAGGGTACTGATTTGTCCTTGTTTTAATTCTAACCCTTTCAACCCCCTCCACATAATCAAATACAGTTCTCTTCTGCAGTGTCCTTCTCCTTACTTGTGTATGTGTGTGTGGGATGACTCCAATGTTTACAGAGGCTAAGACAATACTGATTTGAGATAAGTATACTGATGTTGAGAACCTCTAAGGTTACAATTACATAAGCTCCACTGAAGGAAAGTAGAACATATATTTACAGATGAAAACATTTGCATTTTTCTGCTTTTTCCTACATCACCCCTCATCCTGTGTTAATGCATATTTGCCATTCGCAAAATATGCTTTTTCTATTTCAAGCTAGAGTTTAATAAATCTTTTCAAACTTGCTTAAACTGGATGCTGCCTTCACACTCTCCAGTTAATATATTTGCATATGTATTTCCACAGCTATAAATTATCTCACCCATCATTTATTTGTACTTTTCAGTAAAAGGATTGTGGGAGAACTCCCTACAATGTATAATGCTTTATACGTATATATTCCATATTGCAGTAATAAGGGAGAGGTGGAAAAGGGTGCCCAAGATTTTAATTTTTTTAGCATTGGTAAAACAGAAGATGCTTCCCTCTTTGTCCTTCCTATATATGTGGGTGTATGGTTTGCTGGAAAGATTTCCTAGGAAGAAACTGGACCTTGATATATATAAGCTGTAGAAAATAATTCTGGTGGAGATATTCACATGTAATGAAGACATGTAGGCAAATTGAATTATTGATGGCTGTACAAGCAACATAAACAGTAATTACTATCCACTTTAAATGACTTTGGTATTAGCTTTATAAAATGCCCAGTGTTTCTCACATATACAGTATATGCTGGCAGAAAAAGAAGTGGCAGGTAAAATTCTAATTCTCAAAAGAAAAGCATGAACTTTTAAACTGACAGTGATTATTTCCAAATAAATTTCTCATGCATTCCTGCTTAATGTGT